TTACGTTCATAAGACAATGGGGACATAGCTATTCCTTCAACTTCACGTTCATAAGACAATGGGGACATAGCTATTCCTTCAACTTTACGTTCATAAGACAATGGGGACATAGCTATTCCTTCAACTTCACGTTCATAAGACAATGGGGACATAGCTATTCCTTCAACTTTACGTTCATAAGACAATGGGGACATAGCTATTCCTTCAACTTCACGTTCATAAGACAATGGGGACATAGCTATTCCTTCAACTTTACGTTCATAAGACAATGGGGACATAGCTATTCCTTCAACTTCACGTTCATAAGACAATGGGGACATAGCTATTCCTTCAACTTTACGTTCATAAGACAATGGGGACATAGCTATTCCTTCAACTTCACGTTCATAAGACAATGGGGACATAGCTATTCCTTCAACTTTACGTTCATAAGACAATGGGGACATAGCTATTCCTTCAACTTCACGTTCATAAGACAATGGGGACATAGCTATTCCTTCAACTTTACGTTCATAAGACAATGGGGACATAGCTATTCCTTCAACTTTACGTTCATAAGACAATGGGGACATAGCTATTCCTTCAACTTCACGTTCATAAGACAATGGGGACATAGCTATTCCTTCAACTTCACGTTCATAAGACAAAGGGGACATAGCTATTCCTTCAACTTCACGTTCATAAGACAATGGGGACATAAACATCCTTTGGTGTGAAATGTGCAAATGTACTGTTAACTGGACCAATTTGTGTTGTCATTCTTACGTGATTAGGTCGCTTAAACAATGAGTTTATATTGTGCTGGTAACATGTTTTTTTATCATATAAGAATGTCTTTTTGTTTTAAATATAAATATTTTCTGCTCGTACTGTTAATTTGAAACATGGCGCTACCTAATGAGCCAGATAGCGCGTTGCCTCGGGCTACATTTACCAATTAGTTGCAGCATCTCCCATCTCCCATAGCGTCTTAAATACACACTCAATGCCCGTAACTACTTACACAACACAAGTTTCTTCAGCAGTATTTTTTTCAAATAAACTTGAATTCGCTTGTTAATTAATAAAAACCCTATTATAGGTTTTAATGAGGAGACTATGTGAAGTGCCATATATGAAGCTGATTGCCTTGCTACTTTTCTGCCTTTCCATTCATAACGAGCTCAACTCTCTAACGAACAAATATTTAAAATGGCTTCCAAATTAGACAATTTTGTTGACGATAAATCTCCCATGTAATTAATCTCAAATTAAAATATTCCTACCTAATAACAAACAACAACAAAAATAAAACAAAACCTACAAGCTGAAAAATAAAGGAGCAATTACATGCTAATTTTCATATCTTTCATGTCAGTAACTGAAACTTTGCAAGAATGATCTTACCTGGTGTACTGGTCTAAATCTATCTGACATAAGAATTATCTTACCTGGTGTACTGGTCTAAATCTATCTGACATAAGAATGATCTTATCTGGTGTACTGGTCTAAATCTATCTGACATAAGAATTATCTTACCTGTTGTACTGGTTTAAATCTAGCTGACATAGGAATTATCTTACCTGTTGTACTGGTCTAAATCTATCTGACATAAGAATTATCTTCCCTGGTGTACTGGTCTAGATCTATCTGACATAAGAATGATCTTACCTGGTGTACTGGTCCAAATCTATCTGACATAAGAATTATCTTACCTGGGGTACTGGTCTAAATCTATATGACATAAGAATTATCTTACCTGTTGTAATGGTTTAAATCTAGCTGACATAAGAATTATCTTACCTGGGGTACTGGTCTAAATCTATATGACATAAGAATTATCTTACCAGTTGTACTGGTTTAAATCTATCTGACATAAGAATTATCTTACCTGGTGTACTGGTCTAGATCTATAATAATACTAATATTACTAATACTATACAACATTTGATATAGCGCCATATCTAGCTCTAAAGCGTTTTACAGTACATAGATATACAATTGATACAATAAGCATATACATTAATCAATACAAACTTTGAGGAATTCGAAGAAGCTTCCTTATCAGGCGCTTACTACTAGTTCTATGCCACCTGTCTAATATATCCCAATGTGTGTAAGCCTGCGTATGTGCTGGAGATGTAATATGTACTGTTTGTAGTGGGACCTTGCGTCCAATGGCATCATTTATAGTGCCATCTCACTTGAATGCGTCAGCACAGATACCGCAACATCCACCTCACACCAATTGAAACTTCACCTGGGTTTTTTGAGTTGAGTGGGCAGGAGAAAAACCCTTTCTCTGAATATCCATGCGTACGACAACTTCGGGGATCGAACCCTGGCCGCCTGTTTGGAAGTCCGGAGTGTTAACCACTCGACCAATCCGCCATCCATGCGACACAATACAGTTATCTTACCTGGTGATCTGGTCTAGATCTATCTGACACAAGAATTATCTGCCTTGGTGTATTAGTATACATCTATCTGACGTAAAAAGAATATTTTCTGGTATATAATACTCATATTGTGAAAAACGCGCCGTCCCATACCTCTTTAACATTTTGAGGCGTTATTCTAAATGCAAAGATGTGAACTAAACGTTTTTAAAATACTAGAACTAGAAAGTAGAATGAGTGTTTTGTTTCTGATAATGACAAATATGTTACTATTTCAAAGAGTTTTACATAACTTGCAATCCTAGGGGAGAGTTGTGGAGAAATTGAAGTGTGTATAACATATACGATCATATAGCCAAATCCATTTGTAGTATTCATCAACGCCGGATATATAATTGAGGTGGTGTTTATAACAGCCGCTTTGTGTTAATTGATAAATGTATGAACAACATAAGATATAACTACTAACGCCAAACATGCAGGAAAACAAAGTGGAAGATAAACGATGGCAATTATACTAACAGTACAGTTCTAATTAAAACGGGTTGGAAAATACACGATATCCAATTATCCAAAACCTTTCGTGACCTTCACGGCATTGTCTGTTAATGAGTCAATTACAAAGTATGAAAAATAATAAATCGATATTTTCGAAGCAACTCCACTGTTATTATGTTGAGATGACCGTTCTGATGAAAAGGCTTGCAGATATTATTACAAATGAGACGCTAATACAATTTGTCTTCAGAGAGCAAAGTACCTAGTAAGACATCATGACGGTCAACGGTGCTCCCTACTTATATTTCTAGTGTAATGTCCAGATTTAAGTAATGTAAGACCCTTGCGTTATCGTGCCATCGTTATACTGGTCAATTTCAAATAAGTAAGATTTCAGAAAATATAAACAATAGCCATTTACTGCCAAGTTGAAAAATTCTTTATTGTTGGTCAATATCTGGAACATTCCGCATATTATTAGTTACACGGATTTTTGGCAGGGTATACGGGATGGTATGACCCTACAGGATTTCGTATTTCCTTCGGCCTATCGGCCTCAGGAAATACGAAACCCTTTAGGGTCATACAATCCCGTATACCCTGCCAAAAATCCGTGTAACGAATTAATTACCCCTTTGAGTCTATTATAATTGTTTTGTGGCACATAGTTAGCCCTTTTGGCGAGTATTTCCTCATCAGCATGCGAAGCGAAACGTTTTGCCATTTTGTAAACAGCGAAGCAGACGACGAATGCGAGTTGTCTCCCGATGCCCGGACGCAAGATACAAAGTCACGTGACCCGTATACCCCTTGTAAAATCACGTGATTCCACCGTATTTACTGCTGAGAATCCCGTGACATGACCGTATACCCCCTGAGATTTTCGTACGCGGTTTGGTACACTGTAGTTTTTAACCAATCAGATTCCTAGATTTTTCTCAAAGATATCCAGGCAAACTATGCACAATTTTTGGTATTTCTATTTTTCTACTTCTGGTTCAACTATATATTATAACTGATCATTTTGTTTAAGTGATAACATCTACAAATTCCCTGTCTGTCTTTCAGTCCCTTTATTACAAAATGTCTTGCTCAGAATAGATCTGTTCAGTTTGGCCGGCTAGAGAGTACTAATTTTCCTTACAAAGATATTCCTGCCAAACTGACCAAAAGGTATTATAATAGTTTCACTAAATCTGCACAGCTATCACATGTACGTCATGTGAAATATAAAAATAGAACTATACAGGTAAGGTGATATATAAAAAAAGAACTACAGGTAAGTAATCAAATAATCACTCCCTGTAACCAATAACACACACATGTCTCTTTTACACACTCTAAACAATTTGGGCACAAACAAATAGACAAATATACATACAAAATATATAAAACAAGATAGTAATCACCATGTAACAATCGTGTAGGCTTGTTCAATTCATAGAACATCCATCTTCTTCCAGAAGAGTCAATGGCGGCCAACGAAGGTGTAGACAACTTTATGTATCGTGTAGCTCGTTCAACCCTTAGAACAGCCCTGTTCCAGGAGAGTCAATGGCATGCAACGTCACAACTGTAATGTCATAATAATGATGCCATGAACACGCAGGCCATAGCATTTATACCTGATATGAATGCCATCCTTAATTCCGTAGGGTTACAACTATAGCGTTATTGTTTAAGACTGTTACACATATCATAATGATGCCGTTTGATACCCTGTCCACGTATGTAAGTTAGACACACTCAAATGTGTTTCTGCTTATCAAATTGCAAGACAACCGCGAACACCTTTCGTTTTAATTAGCATGTGATTTTTCAGCATTCCTCTTGTAGCTACAAGAAATTTTCACAGTGATGAATAGTCTTATGTGACGAGATCGTCACATCGTTTGTTTTGGTTTTCCTGTTATGAAAAAAATACAAATATTCAAACCATGATGATTAAGCATAGTTCTCACAATAAATTTTGTTGTTTCAATATGAAATACGATAGAATAATTTAACTTTTTATAAAAAAATCGTAATTAATCATCATTTAAACTTTCTATATTTTGACACATTACATCACATGTTAGGGTTAGGGTTAGGGTACACGTTCTCCATTATATGACTTTTTTTCAGACGTACTTAAGGGCAAAGTTTATTGTCTGCCTAACCCACAACGACAAGGGAGATCTCATAACGGGCGACTCGAATGGGACTATCTACGTCTGGGGCGACGGCGGCAACAGAATTACTAACTTCATCAAACATGCGCACGACGTAAGTTATGTTTAATAGATAAGTTATAATGTTTAATCTGCTCCAGTCAATAGCTCGAAAAAATGTCGCAGACCTGGTATTGTTGTCATCCCTTTTGGAGTTTCCATCATCATCAAATATATTTTATTTAGTTATTGAAATTGATCGCAAGACATTCTAAACTGAATATTTTAGTCACCATGACTTTGGTTTCCATCATTGCCAAAAGGTGTTATATGTGATTTCGATTAAAGATCAATACATATATAGTGTTGATGCATTTAACGAGCACATGCACAAAACATGTTTTAATGAAACGCATCCTCGATTTCTTTGCTATACCTACATGCATTTATAAGGTATATCGTTGAATTAAATTGTCGCTCTTTCCAACGCAACAATCTATGGTTTACTTTGGCCGTACACTTTTAAATATGTTATTTAAGGATTAACTTGAATATGTTTTTTATGTTATGGAGATATAACACAAAAAAACGGAGTGTACTCTAAATAAACCGCGAAGCAGTTTATGATGAGAGTACACTCTGTTTTTTGTGTGTTATAGCTCCATAACATGAAAAATATATTCAAGTCAACCCTTATAATTTAATCTACTATACACAATCCATGTGGATATCCACTTTTATTGATGGACTCTTTCCTCTTAGAAATTATTGCGCTGCTGTATCAGTCACTCAAAATGACGATACAAACGGCGAGGTCATTTTTTACGTTATGGGCTGATAACATAATTTTTTAAGCCAATCAAAATGCTTGTTACCAGCAAGATTAAATTATGACCTATTGAATTGTTGGTTAGTTTACTCTAAATAATACCCCCAAACATGTTTTCATATTTTTTGTTCTTATGATTAACGTAATTTTCCTTTTCGTCAGAAGCTTTAAAATTTCTTAAAACATAGTTTATATTCTTATACTAAATTGCAAGAATAATTAAAAAGCAGATATTGTTCAGCCAACATTTATTAAAGAGGAATGAGCAAGTACATTTGGTATTTATGCTGCTGTAATCAACATATTTTAGGAATCGGTATTAACGTTGAGTTCTTGTCGTTTATTGTCCAATAATTTTACACTTCTTTGTTTTACCATTATAGGGGCAACCGTTTACTCAGATTTATTGGGGTGTTAAGGAATCGGTATTTATGCTTTTTGTGTTGACATTATAGGGGCTATTTTCTACTAAGGTTTATTTTGGTATTTAAGGGGTCGGTGTTTTGCTTCTTCGTTTTAACATTTTAGAAACCAGTACTTACTGTGATTTTCGCTTTTTTAAGGGCCTATATATATTTACTCTGCCTTATTTTCACATTTTAGGGTCCTGTTTTCACGTTGCTTTATTCCAAGGGACTGTTGCTATCTGGGGGCCGGGACGGAATGGTCTATTGTTGGCTGTGGAACAAAAATATGGACCAATCGGGATCCCTCCAGGTAAGGCTAGCACGCCTTGTACACACAATTAAGTCGCGACAGAAAGTTTAATTTGAACGACAGAGTTCAAGGCAATAATGGCAGACTAGTTCGAGCAATCCAATCTTTTCCACAATTTAACTGGTTCGCAGCTGTATTCAGATTATTTGTCTTCTGGCGTGCTTTGTCAGATTGCTTTTTAATTTAAATCCGCGCGCAACGATCTTATGAAATTACAACTTGCGTTTACTAAAAGCATTTAATCTGATCATTTAAGGCAGGAGACAACTGTACGGCTATGACTTAGCTTCATTAGTGTAAAAGTATGGTAAGTTTAAGTTTAAATGTATGTCGTTTTGATGGTATTTGAGGAATAAATAATTAAAACTTGCCATTCGAGTGAAAGCGATGACTGTGCCACTCAATATACTGCAACTCTCCTATTGAAACTAAAACAGTCAACTTCATAACCGGTACAAAGTAGTTAAGTTTGATAAACCATAGTTCATGACTAGCCATAATGATTCCTCGATGTCAGATTTGAGTTTAATTTTACAAATTATTTAAATTTAGAATTATAAAACATATAGTGGAGTTGAAATAATTGAAAACCCGACATTCGTTTACAAAGTGAGATACGCCATGTTTAGTTCTAATTTGAAGGCTGGCAAAACACCTATAGAGCGAAGTGTTCGTGGATTTGTCAGAACAATACAGAAAAAACCCGCGATATAAGGCATTCGTTTCATTTGTCGTCTCACTTACAGCCTGCATAATGTAATGTCCCCTCTTCTTTTAACAACACCTTATATGTTTATCTAAGGAAAACCCCTTTATAATGCCAAAACGGTGGTAGTATAACGTAGGCTTACAGTAATGCTCGGACGTAAAAAAGATATAAAGGTTTTTTAAGACGACGGATAAAAATTGTCGATAACACAAATACAACAACAAATCCTATTTATACACTTTCTTTGACCTTGATTGTGTTTTCTATGTCACCTGTATTAATATCAGAAACATGATATCTTACCTGTGTTATTCAAGATTAATAGAATCTTCCTCTTGAAGGTGTGATAGAGAAATCTCCAACCCGAGGGGTGATGTTTCTTGGTTAGACAACCAAAAAAATCACCCAGAGGGTTGGATATTTCTCTGTCACACCCTCAAGGTAGGGGATGATTGTTTTTCTCCCATCCTATTATTTCAGTCACAACTCCACCACCGACAGTAGTGTAAACAAAACACATTTGGGATATGAATTTCGTCATTCACTTTTGATGACGTCACAATTACCGGTGACGCATTTTAATGACGTCACAATCGAAAACGTGTTAATCGGCACGAGGCTTTTTCCCCCTGCGGGGTGACAAGCTGATCTTTCCCGGCTAAAACGGGAAACACACCTGTGAAGGGTGGGAGAAACAGATATCTCCTTAAAACAATTCTAATGACTTACATAAAAATGTTGTCGCTGGAATAGCTATAAATCCTTATCAATACTATCCCATACGTAACACTGTATTATATGGGTTGTATCTGTTGTCAGATCCCCCGGTCAGAAGGAGGAGTCAGGATGCTACAGATACACAATGAGTCCCTCCTCATAGGGACAACAATGAACTCAATGCTGTCGTCCTTTTTCGCCGCCAGTAAGACGTCGCCACTGGCCGATGTGACACTGGACGCAATACCTATAACACAGGTGAGTCACGCCTGACCGATGTGACACTGGTACAATACCAATAACACAGGTGAGTCACGCCTGACCGATGTGACACTGGACGCAATACCTATAACACAGGTGAGTCACGCCTGACCGATGTGACACTGGACACAATACTTATAACACAGGTGAGTCACGCCTGACTTTACGCGTATCCATGGTACAGCTGTATCAGAAGAGCCGCTTTACACTGATCACCCTGCACACCACTAGTGCTTTCGGGGAAAGAATAGTCAAGGTCATGTATTCATGAAACCGTTCTCATGCTCAAAGTCTTATTTCTTATTTGGCAATAAATCAATACAATATTACATTATGTCAATGATCTGGAATAATTTGGAAGAGTCTTAGAGTTGAATATCTCTTTTAATGTTTGAAGTTGACTTTTTGACCGTTTAACATGATTTTAAGCCAGCGGCAAGAAAGTAGTTTTGGGCACAGAATTTGCACTTGAGCACGAGAGCGGTTTCATGAATACGGGCCCTGGTGTATTCCACTGCATGGCCATAAGAGATGAATAACAATAATATAATAAGGAGTTTTCCTTTGTTGGTTCACTAAAGTGACATTGAAGAGACAAAATGATCCGCTGCCCCCATTGGAAACTTGGGATTAATTGAATCCATCCCTGCTCAATATCTTATCCCGAGGGTTTGAATGACCTTATCCATATCTCATATCAGGGATGGATTCTATTTCTTGCTTATTACCTAAAACCCGTAAAAACAGCTGCTCTTCTAGTAAAGTTGTAAAATGTCTGCACATTGCTCATTTGCATATGAAGCCCGGATGTCAATTGCTTGTGACGTCAATGACATTGACTGACCCCAAAACGTCATGAAATGACGTCACGAACAATAGCGTGACCCCGAAAGGTCACTATAATTCCCCCGCCAGTCTGCGCGTGTAAGCGATCTAGACCCCTGGGTTGGATATAATTTTTCAGCACCGCTGGAAATGCGGATATCGCGGTCTGGTATTCAAGAAAATGTTTTACATCTTTCTCGTCGTCTTTTTTACCGTCTTCTTTCTCTTTCTGCCGGAGTCTCCCTAGGCATCCGTTCGTCATTTAATATAAAAAAAGTGTTTTGCTTGTATATTTAAACACGTAATTGTACTGTCTTGTATCTTGAAAAGATGAATGGAAGTCACAAACATTTGTTCAAAATATGTTCTTCATGCGTAAATGTTACGCATGAATCGGTGACTGCAAGATTTTAAGATAATGTGTATATGCTAGAAGTTCTGTAGCACTCTTAAGTTTCCGTTCGTTTAAATGCAAGAAAAAAATCAAAAGTTTTTGACAATTCTCAACAAAAAAGAATACCGAAATTTCTAATACAGTGACCGACCAAGAAGAATAGTATTGTTCAATAACACTGATCATTGTAATGATTCGTAGGATCGGTACTGACACTTGCTGTGACGTCATTCTGTAAATAATTATACCTAATGATCGGTTCTGACAGATGTGTTTGATATAATTGGAACATTGCTGACATTAAGTTTTATTGAAAATGAAGTTGTAATACATGTACCATGTAATAAACCGCGCTTACATCAATTTATCCTCCTTAATATTAATTGTCCACGGATATATTTCCAGGCTTTGACAACACATGTCGGACGTAATTGGAAATATACCTCAAGGGTATTAAATGCCAATCAAATATATTTTTTCCTCGCCGTTTAAAAAGGATTAGCCGTACGTTTTATTTTACAGGGGCATTTTGACGACCTTCGTGGGATAGCGTGCGTACCACGATCGGAAGTAGGAGGTGATTTTGTCACAGCTGGACTGGACGGCATTATATGTTGGTTTGACTCGGGCAGACGAGATCCTGTCTGCAAACTTGTGCTAAAGGTAGACATTCTTCTCAATTACATATGTTGTAATATTTCCCGAATGTAGATCAATTATAATCCAATTAATTATTGTGTACTTTTATTTTTAATCGTACCGGTATAAACCGTTACATTAAAAGATATTTTAGTACAAATAGGGTAAATTCAGCACTTCACTGACAAACTATGATGACATACGTGCATATAAACATGAATACAGAGCCGATACCTGTCATATCATTGAAAGATATCTATATCAACGTAAATGGACGTGGTTAATAAAACAGTGATTGATTATCAAAATGATTGACGTGGAAATGTAATGACACGCATTCGTGATTAAACTTTGTTTGTCAATATATATATATAGCAACTGCAACCTGTCTAGTCTTGTGCTTTTATAACTCTGACATCTACATACAACAAACCTACATACTGGAACGAACCCTGTACCGCCAGTCGTGTGTTGTTGGACAGAATTATAGTCATACACTAACTGTGTGATTTACCGTAATAAGAATCCGTCGTTGTTTTTCTTATCATAGCCTCTTAAATACAAATGATCGCGATACTTAATCCGTCCACGTAAAATTACAAAATTTGATAATTACATAGTAAACCTACTTGCACTTGGGATATATATATATTTTCCTATTCTTACTTCCCTGTTCTTTCCTTTCGGTGGTATCTACCTAAATGCCCGTTTTCAGATAGCCTAAGCGGTTGCGAGATCGTTCAGCCCTAACAATGCAAAAAAAACCCCACCAGAAGCTAAAACCTTCATATCTCTAGAAAGCCCGTTGTCTTCATAGATACTTAACATAAGTATGTGTATTGTCGACGTAGAAACTTCAAATGTGTTGAATACAGATCACGAATCTAACCACTCAGTCCGTTGTCTTCATATATACTTCGCTTTAGTTAGTGTGTTGTCATAGATACTTCGCTTTAGTTAGTGTGTTGTCGTCATAGATACTTCGCTTTAGTTAGTGTGTTGTCGCCGTATACACTAACATATTTCAGGTCACTAACCGAACCACTCAGTTAGTCCGTCGTCTTCATAAATACTTCGCTTTAGTTAGTGTGTTGTCGCCGTATACTCTAACTTATTTCAGGTCACTAATCGAACCACTCAGTTAGTCCGTTGTCGTCATAAATACTTCGCTTTAATTAGTGTGTTGTCGCCGTATACTCTAACTTATTTCAGGTCACTAACCGAACCACTCAGTAAGTCCGTTGTCGTCATAGATACTTCGCTTTAATTAGTGGGTTGTCGCCGTATACACTAACATATTTCAGGTCACTAACCGAACCACTCAGTCAGTCCGTCCTCTTCATAGATACTTCCTTTAATTATAGTGTTGTCGCCGTATACACTAACATATTTCAGGTCACTAACCGAACCACTCAGTCAGTCCGTCGTCTTCATAGATGCTTCCTTTAATTATAGTGTTGTCGCCGTATACACTAACATATTTCAGGTCACTAACCGAACCACTCAGTCAGTCCGTCGTCTTCATAGATACTTCCTTTAATTATAGTGTTGTCGCCGTATACACTAACATATTTCAGGTCACTAACCGAACCACTCAGTCAGTCCGTCCTCTTCATAGATGCTTCCTTTAATTATAGTGTTGTCGCCGTATACACTAACATATTTCAGGTCACTAACCGAACCACTCAGTCAGTCCGTCGTCTTCATAGATACTTCCTTTAATTATAGTGTTGTCGCCGTATACACTAACATATTTCAGGTCACTAACCGAACCACTCAGTCAGTCCGTCGTCTTCATAGATACTTCCTTTAATTATAGTGTTGTCGCCGTATACACTAACATATTTCAGGTCACTAACCGAACCACTCAGTCAGTCCGTCGTCTTCATAGATACTTCCTTTAATTATAGTGTTGTCGCCGTATACACTAACATATTTCAGGTCACTAACCGAACCACTCAGTCAGTCCGTCGTCTTCATAGATACTTGCTTTAATTATAGTGTTGTCGCCGTATACACTAACATATTTCAGGTCACTAACCGAACCACTCAGTCAGTCCGTCGTCTTCATAGATACTTCCTTTAATTATAGTGTTGTCCCCGTATACACTAACTTATATCAGGTCACTAACCGAACCACTCAGTCAGTCCGTCGTCTTCATAGATACTTCCTTTAATTATAGTGTTGTCGCCGTATACACTAACTTATTTCAGGTCACTAACCGAACCACTCAGTTAGTCCGTTGTCGTCATAGATACTTCTAATTACAAGCTGAACCACGCTATTGATCGCCTGCACATTTTTTGTGTTTTATTCAATGACTTACAATCCAACTGTTACTTGTGTTGGTATTCTCTTCGTGCATATACAGATTAAATGGACATATTTTGATATCCAACTTAATTTGTGATTAATTTAATGTTTACTGAATGAATCTTGGCCCTGTTGAATTTGGACTGTTGTGTTTATGTCGACGTTGTTAAATTTTGCTTTTCGTTAAAATGACTGACTTATGTTTTATATACTAGGGTCAGCAGTTTCTGTGTATTGACAGTAATCCGTCTGGTAAGCTGATCGCCCTGGGGACCAAGGATGGACAGTAAGTTTCAACATACCCACAGTCTAATGCATTGTAGATGTGTCACTAGGGACGCACGTGAAGTACATTATGCCATGTCGGCTCTCGTATAATGTCTTTAACGTTTTGTACGCGGACGAATTTCGTCTTGTCGTGTTTTTGCTTATCCTATATAAAACATCATACTATCCTATATAAAACATCATACTATCCTATACAAAATCTAGTAACATTACGCGCCTCGCCATTTAGAACATTTCTACATGATTAAGTCAAATTTAGTCAGTGATTCTAGCAAATGTGATTGTTTTGTTCACGGAGTCGCTGTGGTGACCGCTCGCTTTGGTTGACCTATTGAGGATTACATGACAGAAACATTGAATCGATTTTTCGACAAAAAATAAATAAGTGGATATTTAAGATACCGGAAGAACTCTTAGGAACTTCTATTTCCAGACAAGATTGGATGATAATTGATTGGTCAGACGTATTTATTGAATGTTCAGTTTCCATTGATTTTGATACGTCGTATTACTGGTCACAAAGTAACCGCGATACTACCACGGTGTACTAATTGTTTTTAAGACAATTGCCTTCTTACACGATAAATAATACCTGTCTAACAGAAAACAAAATTTATTTTTATGAATTACACATTAAAACGAAAATAAAAGAAGTTCCGCAACAGTTTTGAGAATATAACAGTTTTTGTCCATGCTCCTACATAATTTAACATGTCCTGGGAGCGCAAAGTAATGACAATAGTTTTCTAACAAATGCTTTGTATATAATATGTACCACACATTATCAACCCTGTTAAACCAATACAACATCCACACGTCATTGATATCTATTAAACACAATACAATATCATTTCTTTTTTAATGAGGGCTCGATCGAATTTTTTGTAGGTACAATAAATCTTGAAATTTAGAAACTAAGGGGTTTATGCACCTGCCCCTTCTGTTTGAACAGTAGTTCAGACCAATTTGGATTTTCAATAATTATATGGAAAATGAGCCACAGGAAAAGGGTTACCCTGTAAATTGTTAACAACGAGGAATTCACTAAAAAACTTAAATTGAACAAAACTCATCCTAACTTAACAGAAACTGTTTTAGTATCGAATGTGACGCCCATGAGCATTAATTACAGCTTCACAATGTCTGTGCATGCCCCGAATGTGCTCGCGTATCCGGTTTTGTGGGATAGCGTTCCACTCGGCTACCAAAGCTGTTCCCAGCTCATGGAGCGTTCTTGGCTGAACATTTCTGGCAGAGAGAGCTGTCTGCAGCATGTCGCACACACGCTCGATGGGATTTAGATTCGGCGAGCGGGCTGGTCAATCCATCCGTTAAATACTTTCTTGCTGTAGATACTGCTCAGTCACCCGTGTTCTATGTGGTCTAGCATTATCGTCCATAAGGACGAAGTCAGGGGCCGATAGGGCCAGCGTCGGGTCTGACATAGGCATCAATTATTTCATTGTAGTAAATCCGGGCCGTAACGGTACCAATATGGAAAACATGGAGGTCAGTTTTCCCACGAAGGCTTATGCCTCCCCACACCATTACTGAACCTCCGCCATATCGGTTGTGTTCCACAACATTACCTACCAGGAACCTCTCCCAAGGTTGTCTCCATACTCTAACGCGCCTGTCGGTGAAGTCGAGACGGAATCTGGACTCGTCAGTAAAAAGAACCGTTTCCCATTCCTGAAGAGTCCAAGTGCTGTGAACTTGGGCCCAATCGAAACGGTCCTTAACATGGCGGGCAGTTAAGGTCTACGTGAAATTAAACCAGCATCATGAAGACGGTTCATAGCTGTCTGAGTGGCTTCACGGGTACCAGAAGCATTTAGGAGGTCATTTCGTAAAGCTGTGGCAGTCTGGAACCTGTGACACCGTGCCTGTATGAGCAAAAATCGGTCTTGGCGCTGCGTTGTAGCCCTAGAACGACCTCCAGCCTGACGTCTGGAAGGGTTTCCGTTAGTTTGAAACGATTCAACATTTTTGCCACCCCAATGTCTGCTGCAACCTGACTCTGAGACATGCTATCTTGCAGCATGCCGATGCCCCTATTCAGTTCACCGTCATTTAACCGTTGTCTGGTTTTTCTTTGTGCCACATTAAAACAAAAACACGCAAAGAATATTCATCAAATTGATTTCTTTAACAATTTGAACAACGCCTTACTTAGCCTAGCTTAGTACGAATTATTCTGACGTTTTATCGTCTTTTTTATATCGGTCTGTCGTCGATTAACGCCAACACTCCGGCCCTCTATAATATGCGGGAAATAAGCGACCCGCACGAGGGTTGCTCTTCAAACTGATATTTTATAATCAAATCGTCACTTTCACACACATGTCGCAAATGGATCGAAAAATCTATTCTTTATGCACTAGGTGGTATCAATACCATGTTTCAAAGATCATTACCAACAGTATTTGCCAACGTTTTATATACCAACCCATGCATCAAATGGAAATTAGGACATGAGCCATGTCACATGACTTGACGAGATCTCGCGTTACCGAAGGTATTTTCCAAACGTTATGACATAGGCCGTCGATATTTTAGTCACGTGACATTAGAAGGCTGGCTATCAGAAACTTTAAGTAAAACAGAGTAAGTTTGAAAAAATATGTTTTTAGTGATTGTATTGGTTGTTTGAGGCATGTTATGTATGCTCAGCTTTTGCATAAAGAATAGATAGTTCGATCCATGTGCGACATGTGTGTGGAAGTGACGATTTGTTTATAAAATATCAGTTTAAAGAGCGACCCTGGCGCGGGTCGCTTATTTCCCGCATATTATAGAGGGTCGGAGTTCGGACATTAATCGACGACAGACCGACATAAGGAAAAGTCGATAAAACGTCAGAATAATTCGGACTAAGCCTAGCTTAGCTTTTTAAAGGGATGTACACGTTGAAAAGCGTGCAGGCGCTTTTATTGTTGACTGAACAAACCCAAACAGGATGATTTGGAAGACTAACATATTCGCCCAAAACAGTACGGAGAGAAAATATAATATCTTTTCTAACATTTTTTTTTTTTAAATATAGGTGATCCTTAGCAAAATGTGAGTAGTATATATATTGTGGCCCCTATCTTCACCAATAACTAATCGTAGGACGGAGCAGCTGAATGATACAGGGTTATTCATTTTGGGCATACTGTAGCTATAACACATACTATTGTTTCTTTCGTGTAAAGCTTATGGGATTAAAATAAAATAGCTAACTTGTGATACACGATGCATGACGTGCAAGCTTATGGAATAACATAAGATAGCTAACTCGTGATATGACGTTCGTTATCGGAATACACTCAATCTACTGGATATACCTTGTGTTAATTGGAATCCATTGTAGGGTGTTACAGTCCGGCAGGATGTGGCTTACTAGGTTTAGTAAAATCTGTGTCGTTAACTCTAGAAAAAATATATGTTGTTGCTATGACAGTACTCTAAATGAGTACAAGTGTTAATGTGTTGCAATCGACGTTAACGTTATTGTTATCATTCTTTTACTTTACTCCCTGCCCGGGTGGTATTATCATTCTAACGGGTCTCATGTAACGGTGACAGATGGTGATTGATACGAATATTTTTGTGCGAGAATATTGTTAGCGTTTGATTTACATTTCAATTTTAGTCAGTTCACTGTATAGTCCTTTTTTCCTCAAAAAATGGCTGTAAGCGTTGTTTCCTATACTTGTTCCTATCCAGTCTCGATGCTTTCTGATTTGTGTAGAATATATAAGAATTGTATTATGTTGACAGTGTTTTGCTGATTAGGATAGAAGGAGAGAACAGCTCGGATGCCTTTAATAAGAAAATCTGCAAAGATAGAATTGACACCATTAACTTTTCGCCAGGTACGTATATTCGTAACTGTATACATGCATCAGTTCCGCGCTATCACAAGGACGCAAGTACACCAAAATATCCTGTCTCCAGCACACATACACACGTGCACGCATACACAATACACATGGAAGTACGTCCGTTCTTTTTATTAGGTTAACGTTCTATTAGCACCTTAGTAAAGTCGCCTGGTTTTCATAAAACATATTTAAATGGTGGATATATATTTCATGTGGCACTGTGGTACACTTTGTCCTGTATGTTTTCCTGGTATGTTGATGCTATCGTGTTTGTACCGTAGTGACGCTGTGGTACACTTTGTCTTTGTACCGTGGTGACACTGTGATACACTTTGTCCTTGTATCGTGGTGACACTGTCGTAGTTTGTCCTTGTACCGTGGTGACGCTGTAGTACAGTGTGCCCTTGTACCGTGGTGATGCTGTAGTACAGTTTGTGTTTGAACCGTGGTGACGCTGTAGTACAGTTTGTGTTTGTACTGTGGTGACGCTGTAGTATAGTTTGTGTTGTACCGGGGTGACGCTGTAGTACAGTTTGTGTTTGTACCGTGGTGACGCTGTAGTAGTACAGTTTGTGTTTGAACCGTGGTGACGCTGTAGTACAGGTTGTGTTTGTACTGTGGTGACGCTGTAGTATAGTTTGTGTTGTACCGGGGGGACGCTGTAGTACAGTTTGTGTTTGTACCGTGGTGAACAGTTTGTGTTTGTACCGTGGTGACGCTGTAGTACAGTGTGTCCTTGTACCGTGGTGACGCTGTAATACAGTTTGTGTTTGTACCGTGGTAACGCTGTAGTATAGTTTGTGTTGTACCGGGGTGACGCTGTAGTACAGTTTGGGTTTGTACCGTGGTGACGCTGTAGTACAGTTTGTGTTTGAACCGTGGTGACGCTGTAGTACAGTTTGCCCTTGTACCGTGATGACGCTGTAGTACAGTGTGACGCTGTAGTACAGTTTGTGTTTGTACCGTGGTAACGCTGTAGTACAGTTTGTGTTTGAACCGTGGTGACGCTGTAATACAGTTTGTGTTTGTACCGTGGTGACGCTGTAGTACAGTTTGTCCTTGTACCGTGATGACGCTGTAATACAGTTTGTGTTTGTACCGTGGTAACGCTGTAGTACAGTTTGTGTTTGAACCGTGGTGACGCTGTAATACAGTTTGTGTTTGTACCGTGGTGACGCTGTAGTACAGTTTGTGTTGTACCGTGGTGACGCTGTAGTACAGTTTGTGTTTGAACCGTGGTGATGCTGTTGTACAGTTTGTGTTTGTACCGTGGTGACGCTGTAGTACAGTTTGTGTTTGTACCGTGGTGACGCTGTAGGACAGTGTGTGTTTGTACCGTGGGGACGCTGTAGTAGTTTCTGTTTGTACCGTGGTGATGCTGTAGTACAGTGTGTCCTTGTACCGTGGTGACGCTGTAGTACAGTGTGCACTTGTACCGTGATGACGCTGTAGTACAGTTTGTGTTTGTACCGTGGTAACGCTGTAGTACAGTTTGTGTTTGTACCGTGGGGACGCTGTAGGACAGTGTGTGTTTGTACCGTGGGGACGCTGTAGTAGTTTCTGTTTGTGCCGTGGTGATGCTGTAGTACAGTTTGTTTTTGTACCGTGGTGACGCTGTAGTACAGTGTGTGTTTGTACCGTGGTGATGCTGTAGTAAAGTTTGTGTTTGTACCGTGGTGACGCTGTAATACAAAAAAAAAATATTCCGTGGTGACGCTGTAGTACAGTTTGTCTTTGTACCGTGGTGACGCTGTAGTACAGTTTGTATTTGTACCGGGGTGACGCTGTAAAACAGTTTGTGTTTGTACCGTGGTGACGCTGTAATACAAAAAAAAAATATTCCGTGGTGACGCTGTAGTACAGTTTGTGTTTGTGCCGTGGTGATGCTGTAGTACAGTTTGTGTTTGTACCGTGGTAACGCTGTAGTACAGTTTGTGTTTGTACCGTTGTGACGCTGTAGTAGTTTGTGTTTGTACCGTGGTGACTCTGTAGTAGTTTGTGTTTGTACCGTGGTGACTCTGTAGTAGTTTGTGTTTGTACCGTGGTGACTCTGTAGTACAGTTTGTGTTTGTACCGTGGGGACGCTGTAATACAGTTTGTGTTTGTACCGTGGTGACGCTGTAGTAGTTTGTCCTTGTACCGTGGTGATGCTGTAGTACAGTTTGTGTTTGTACCGTGGTGACGCTGTAGTACAGTTTGTATTTGTACCGTGGTGACGCTGTAAAACAGTTTGTGTTTGTACCGTGGTGACACTGTAGTAGTTTGTCCTTGTACCGTGGTGATGCTGTAGTGCAGTTTGTATTTGTACCGTGGTGATGCTGTAGTACAGTTTGTGTTGTACCGGGGTGACGCTGTAGTACAGTTTGTGTTTGTACCGTGGTGATGCTGTAGTTGTTTGTGTTTGTACCGTGGTGACGCTGTAGTACAGTTTGTGTTTGTACCGTGGTGACGCTGTAGTACAGTGTGTCTTTGTACCGTGGTGACGATGTAGTACAGTGTGTCCTTGTACCGTGGTGACGCTGTAGTACAGTTTGTGTTGTACCGGGGTGACGCTGTAATACAGTTTGGGTTTGTACCGTGGTGACGCTGTAGTACAGTTTGTGTTTGTACCGTGGTGACGCTGTAGTACAGTTTGGGTTTGAACCGTGGTGACGCTGTAGAACAGTGTGTCTTTGTACCGTGGTGACGATGTAGTCCAGTGTGTCTTTGTACCGTGGTGACGTTGTATTACAGTGTGTCTTTGTACCGTGGTGCCGCTGTAGTACAGTTTGTGTTTTTACCGTGGTGACGCTGTAGTACAGTTTGTGTTTGAACCGTAGTGATGCTGTAGCACAGTTTGTGTTTGTACCGTGGTGACGCTGTAGTACAGTTTGTGTTTGAACCGTAGTGACGCTGTAGTACTGTTTGTATTTGTACCGTGGTGACGCTGTAGTACAGTTTGTATTTGTACCGTGGTGACACTGTAGTACAGTTTGTCCTTGTACCGTGGTGACGCTATAGTACAGTTTGTCTTTGTACCGTGGGGACGCTGTAATACAGTTTGTGTTTGTACCGTGGTGACGCTGTAGTACAGTTTGTCCTTGTACCGTGGTGACGCTGTAGTACTGTTTGCCGTTGTTTGTTGATAATGAAGCATATCTTGCTCTTCTCGGTTGACAGTATTATATATTATTTTCTTCATTTTTCTTGACACTAATATTTGCTCTTCTCGGTTGGCGATGCTGAATTGTTTTCCTGGTCTGTTGATACTGTTTTATATTAAACTCTATTCCCGATCAGAGAGCTGATTATGTTAAGAAGGGTCGATGATTTAGATCATACATAATTGCGTGCCTCGTTGTTTTATTGTCAACCAATTTCTTGCTTTGAGGACGGGACATTTCTTTGATTTTCCTCGATTTACTTTTCTTCCTTTCAGGTTGTGTCTCCGAAGGCACCCATCTGCATATGACCTTAGATGTTGCAAGGTCGTTAAATAGATGAAGGTTGAGCTAGGAGACATATATCGGGCTTTCGAACTAGAAAGAAGCACCGCATGATATCGTATGCGCTGACTCATGTTACCCTTGTATAATCGGTGGTAGATTCTTCTGTGTCTTTTAAATGTGGGACATTAACGAAACCATTGTTAATTTGCTGCCCCCATTGGCCATCCTTTCCTTTCCCTATGAGGACCCTCACTCGATCTGTCTTTACTATATCCTCTCTCTTTCCGGTAATGTCTACGAAGGGTCTCGTCTTCTAATGACTTTCGTTTTTTTTGTTATTTACAATGAAATTTGTTAAAAATGAAAAACAAATATTACCAAAGATGTCGCAAGGACGTTCAAGTTCGAAAACGAAGTATGTTGAATTAGGAAGCACTGTAACCAGTTTCTCTGTTTATTTCAGATTACCTACATCTAGCTGCTGGCAGTCATGACAACGGTATTTACGTGTTCTCCGTCCAGAACAAAGAAGATGGCTCTACGCCTTGGGAATTTGTTGGGAAATTTAATGTAAGAATCATTCGATATTATTATCAAGGTTCTCTCTATTTTGCTATCACGTTTCATGCTCAGGGATTAAATCTTGTTTTCTCATGCATGATCATGAGAAGGGCGGATTTGTCCTCCTACCGATTCGGCCATTGTGTCCGTTTACCGGAAGACAACGCGGAGACAATAATTGATCTGCTGCCCACTTTCCCACATTAAGGATATATCACTGTAGATCTTTCTCTCTAGCTGTCTGTCCCACAGTGTCTCCCGAGGGCCTCCCCTGGTAAGTGACCTGGTGGCATGTCATGCTACCATATTTGAAATGTAAGAGTACAGCTTGGTACGGATCGTTCCTTTCTGTTACATCTGGTTTTGTTGGAGATTGTTTTCAGTTTTGATAATCAGGAAAAAATATTTTGAATTTTAACCTGACCTAAACAGCTGTGTTGATATTTCTACGTATTTTCTTCCAGGGACATAACGGACCTGTAAACAGCTTAGATTTTTCATCTGAAAAGCAAGACGGGTCCTACCTTGTAAAAAGTTGTTCTTCAAAACCTGATATTTCTTATTGTAAGTTACATGATACAGACTTATCTGAAAACGAAATGGTGAAACAGGATCTCAATGCTAACGTTGTTATAACGTGGACTTGTACCGCAATTAACTAGAACATTTGAACTTATTTATTTGTAATTTATATGATATATATAATGGATTTAAAAACAGAACACACATTTTTCCAAGTTTGGAATAATATAAATTGTTATGTTAAATTAAAAGTTCTATTCTTACCTAACTTGATATATAGTGCGTTTTGCTTTTAAATCAATAATAAAATAAAATACTTTACGTGTAATTTAGTTGGTAGTTGAAATATATCATATTTAAACTGTATTCTAACATTACTTTACAAGGGCGGCTCGACGACCAAACAGCAGTAAGTGGCCCTGACGTCGCGGCCGTTGCCTGGTCATCCCATCATTGTAAACTGGACAGCCACGTGTTTGGTTTATGGTGGTCAAAGCAGGCCCAGGAGAGTGATGTCAATTGCATAGACGTCAATGATGCAGGGAATTTGGTTGCCATGGGCGACAGTAATGGTTACCTCAGTCTCTTCCGGTACCCCTGTACCAAGAGAGGGGTATGTAGTCGTCTTTTATTTTAAGTGTCTATTTCTCACCTCGGGTCATATGTCAATTACAACACTAAATGTATTTATCTAATTATTCAACTCTATGTGTTTATATTAGAAAGTTACGTGGGTGAGGCGCATTTTTAAACATTAGATAAAACCTAATCGTACCTTTAGAACAAGAATCTCCATCAATAGTAGTTGTCGTATTGAATGACCGTGTTGCACCAAACAACATCATTATAACTGATTTGTTCCCCGATGATTAATCTTCAATCAAAAGTAATGGTTATTGAATCAATCAGGAAAATCTGCTAAATATAATTGGTTGAATACACTGTTAGCGTTACTTTTAATTTGAAAAAATGTTCACCGATTCCTGGTTTCTTTTCAGGCGTTCTGTCACACATACAAAAGCCATACGTCGATACAGAAGGTCCTGTTTGTGTACGGGAAGATATATGTAATCACGATCGGTGGGAATGACTCGTGCATTCTACAATGGAGGATTGTGTGATATCAAACAACAAGTTATATGCGTCTCATATTGAAGAACACCTCTGCATATTCTCTTATTTAATGTGATGATAACGGCATTCAGTCATTCGGAGTACATTTGTGCAGTTTTCAGTGCTACCGACAACCTATGCATCATTCGGAATACAGTGTTGAAGTTCACATCCATAAAGTCCATTGATCATTCATTCGGAGTACACCTCTGTGTAGTTTAAAGTGGAAAAGACAATTGATTGATTCACTTCTTTTGGAACTCATCTGATGCAGTGTTTATCATATAAAGATAAATATATACTAAGCGTGCGGTGCAAATAGTCAAACATGTCTCGCTTTGAATTTTTAAGGGATTGAACAATTTACTGTAACCATTGTACATTTGCACGGATACATAAGCATAATGAATATCATTTTTTAGGTTTCAAATAAATTAGTTCATCAGTAATATTTGCTAAATACATATCTTAAAGATGTATATCCATTTAAATACATTTGAAATGATAAGTATTATTGGGGTTGAGGGGACCTGATTCAACCATCCCCTCGCCCGGAGGTAAATATAATGTGTTTACAGTATAATGGCCTCGATTCATCAAACCTTCTTCACTCACAATTACCTACAATAGTGACTTTATTTCATACTTATATGAACACATTCTTTCTGTTAAGTACTTGCTTATCATCTATAACTGTTACAACTTTAAATTTAGTGTTCTTCATGCAGAAAGTTCCTTTGAAACAACAAATTGTGTCTTACTTACAGAAGTATTTAAGGATGGTAAGATACGTCTACACCATTTTACCGTCAAGTGGTAGAATAATTTAACCCACGGTTTTTTGTTATATCCTTCGGTGTGATGCAAAAGTACTTGTATTATAACGTTATTGACTGTTTTGACGCATACAAATAAATCACTGTTATTTTTATTTCTAACTTTTGTTTTTATTCACAATAATGTCTCATACTAAAACAAGTGTATCCTTCCCATCCATCAATGCCACAGTTATGTTAACGCAGGCTATTGTAGACGAACATGTACCCAGATGGAGTGCCTCCGGAAAGCAGATCAATGCTAGTGGAATTACTGCTTAAGATAATGCTAACGTCACGGCGATATTGTCCAATTACATACCGTAGACATAGGCTGTCCATATTTATTGAGAAAGATATCGGAAAACTGATTTATAGGGTGTTAATTGATATATATAAGTCTCGATGTGTGGACCTCCAAGCCACAACTTTCACCCAGACTCGTATCAATGTTGCCCGATATACAAATTGGCGCTTTTAGTGAGAACAATCCTCAAACACTCTGGTCGGTTACAAATAAATTGGAAATTTTCGTGAGTGAATGATTACAGTTGGTTTGCGGCAAATCACAGATGACATTGTTTTGAAGGACAAAGGGTTGACATTCTATAGGTGTCTGTTGCATCCATATATATTGTGCAACATTTGAAATTCAGTATCACGTCATATGATTAAAGGGACATCACGTTAACGGCGTTATTGTTTTTAATGAAAGTATGTGTTGTATGCACTTCCACTTATGTAACCTTGCTATCCCAATATTCATAGTCCGTTTCAAATGTCCAGTTTGACCACTTGAATTGTTCGGGAATGCCCTGTAAAAAATAGTGCCAATAACGTCACGTTAAGGTTTTGAAACAAGGCAGAAAACAATGGTGGTCTGACCGAGATGCAAAGTTTCCAAAGGGGCCCCCAGAGAGGGACAGTCAGGCAACTGCCACTTCTTACCGCACTATGAAATCAAGGAATATGGTTTCATAGTCCATGTTGAAACTTTTTGAATCCCCTTAGCAGTAATTATTCATCATCAGAAGTTAATTGCACGCATGCCATTATTCAAAATTTAAATGAATTTATATTTGTTGGCCTCTCGGCATTATTTATAGACACAGGAAATATATATATACGGGATGTGACCGGTACACATGGATACGGAGCTGAACACCTTCCCTCAAACATGGGACAAACCTTTCTGTATGCATTGACAAGTAAAAAAATACATAAAAAAAAGAAATGTTTGTGATTTTTTTTATTACGACTCAATGTCTTCGGCCACTTCGGAGAGGACATCACAACATGTACAGTTACCCCTTGGAAGGGCCAATAGCGAAATCATATTAACCAGTCACTTTTCCCGCATAAACTACTGTATACAGAAACGCAAAGTAGACCGTCTCCGATACATGCCCATAACATAGCATAATAAGTTCATCTGTGTTCCAACTTAAACAAAGATACTAGCGAGGTTAATATTTTTAGATATTTATTCATAACATCATTTCTGTCGATTCGTTTTCAGCTTTATACCGGCTATCCAGAAGAATGCATGCACCTCACTAACTGCTAGGGCAGTTATTTTCTCTTTTGAATACTTCCCACCTACAATAAACTTCCGTAACGTAATCACTGGGCTATCTATTGACCATTTGGCAGCTTTTCGCTTCGTAGCTGACGCGGTCTCGATTTTCACTCCCTAACTTCTCACAGCCAGTCATTTTGTTTACAATATAATGGTGTGCTATGCGCATGCGCTAGTAGAGGCAAATCCTTGAACAAAACGTTGGTCAGACAGATAGAAATCCCGATAATTATCTTAATGTTATTCATTTTCATGAATATATATCAGCCAAATCCGACCTTTATTTTACATAAGGAGACTCACTTGATATGTTAATGAAGTATTTGAAATAAAAATGAAAAAAAATATGTTTCGCCGTGATGTCCCTTTAAACAGACCAGGCATCTATGTGGGTGGAGTAACTACGTATAGCCAGACAGTTACTTGTGAGTGGTCACTACATTTTATATGTTTTGATTTACTCGTCTCTCTTCTTTATTCGTTTAAAACATTGACTGGTGAACATTTGCTATTTAATGTGTAATGTGAATTAAGCTATGCTATTTTTATTATATTGAAAATGGTGAGTAGTATCAGAGTCTGGATGGGGGTATTTTCTTTTGATTTGATTCTAACAGGCACGAATTGGCGCCTAGTGGAGACACTAACGAAGCAAATATAAAAGTAAGTAGAGAGATATATAAAAAAGGAAGATCTAAGTGCGCCTCAGACATTAAACACCGATGATGCAGAGGAGTCTTCATTAGTCAACCTCCACAAATCATGCAATGAAATAAAAGTCCCTATACTCTATAAACATTGCCGCCAAAACATAATCTTAATGGGTATGGTTTGTATTGGTCCAACGAATTGATATTTTACAAATAATAAAAGTGTTTCTTTTGTATCTTCTGTTTAAGGGACACCGAAAAACCAAAACCGATTCGTTGTCCACTCTTGCTTTGTTCAGAAAAAAAGGACATGCTAATTATCTGCAGAGTTGAAAACGAAACTAATAGGGTTTTGTAGTTGTTTTGTTGTTTTGGCCGATTTTATATAAACCCTGGCAGAATACATAATATCAAATCAACAAGTCCTCCGTGAGCATGTCCTTTTTTTCTGAACAAAGCAAGAGTGGACAACGAATCGGTTTTGGTTTTTCGGTGTCCATTAAACAGAAGATACAAAAGAAACACTCGACTGAATAATGATAAAAACACTTTTTTATTTGCAAATTTCAAACCACATGCTTATCACCCTTTAGCATTTCATATACCCTCCGTGCTTTGTGGAAATTTAGATGGCCTGCACGGAATGCGATCCTTTATACTCAAGACGAAATATTATTATTAATATTATATTAAGTACATGTGAGCAGGTTTAGTTCTTTTCGGTTGAAAACCATATGTATTTGTGGCCTTGTGCGATGTATTCAGTTATTTATATTTAGCACATTTTCCAGATTCGAAAAACATTACTTTTGATTGGAGAATTATCATCGAGAAAAAAGTCATTTATGGGGATATGTTGTTGATGCAACACGGTCATTCAATACGACAGCTACTATTGATGGGGATTCTTGTTCTAAATGTATGATTAGGTTTTATTTAATAATTTAGGTTTTCTAATTAACGTGGGTGGTAAATTATGCTAAATTTCCACTCATTTTGAACAAATCTTGGACAAATATCAACAGTCTCGATATTGGAATTTGCAAAACTCGATTCAATCTGTAATAACTGGATTAGAGCTAGGGTAATGCTGTTATTTCTGCCAGAGTAAATTATGAAGCTTCCGTTCAGTTAATGTTTACTACTGAGCATGCAATTAAAGTAATTTCCAATAAATGGTCTTTACTAATCCACCACTATGATTTCCATATTCAGGACTAAAACTATAGGGTGAACTACACTGTGTTTTGTAATGACGTTATGGTTGAAACGTTCTCAGTGTATAGCGATGATTTCTTCGTCAACATGAAATACATGAAATAAACGAGGTGATACTTTAATGCTCTTATAAAAAAAAAAAAAAAAAAAAAAAAAAAAAAAAAAAAAAAAAAAAAAAAATAATTAAGGATTAACTTGAATATTTTTGTTTTATGTTATGGAGGTATAACACAAAAAACGGAGTGTGCTCTTAATAAACCGCCACTTTTATTGATGGACTCTTTTCTCTTAGAATTTATTACGCCGCTGTATCAGCTAAACAAAAGCGACGTTACAAACGGCGACGTCACTTTTTTACGTTTTGGGCTGATAAAATATTTGTTTAAGCCAATGAAAATGCTTGTTAAAAGCAAGATTAATTATTAAAAGTTGACCATAAAAATGTGAAAGATCAAACGATGTAACGTGCAAAATCTGTTTGTTGAGCAAACTTGTCATAGAAAACCAATAAATAACATTTTTTTTTAGTTCTTTTGAAATTAAACCCTTTTTGCAAACTTACTTTGGGATGAGCTAAACGAAAGCTGAAATTTAAGAATATTTTTTTTCTTAATCGAGGATGACATTTTCGTGCCGTTTGTGTTTTCCCATCGCTCTTGAGTATGCCTTCGTTTGACCTGCTGTCTACACTTGTCCTTCGTATGTTCCTGTATGGGATGAGGGTATGATTAAACTATTACCTTGTGACATTGAGATGTCACCGATGATTTTTACTGATGTGTATGATATCAATACTGTTCAACACGAAACATCATTTGCTGCATTCCTATGTACATTTGTTCCTTGCGTGCGCAATCATGCACTGTCAATTGTTATAACGAAATGTATATGTATATACCGTGAACGAGTATATGACATGTCCTTGGTGCTTTTAAAGTAACTATCCAGTGCAGGTAGCCATGTTGAAAGAGGCGACTAATATAGGGCCACTGCAGAATCCGTATTTCCCCCGTATCTTCTGTTAGGGGGTTTAACTAATCAAAATTCATTTGCTGCCCCTATTAAAACACTTAAGATATTTATCTATATCTCTCACGTCCATACTCTAACCTTTCCTTAGTCACCCGTCTTAATATGGCCCTGGTTGTTGTGATGACTTTAAATAGCATTCATACCAACATATTCAAAGTAACCGCGAGAACCAAACTGGGTATACACTATTCATTGATACACTGTAATATTATATATAGAGCTTGACTACGTCTTATAAATGATCGCCGCAAAGACTATAACCTGATATTCCAAAGGTAGTACAGATTTATCATCAAGTATCATATCCAGAGAGTGTGCATACGTCCTGTAACACTGACAGCCTGAAATATCAATCTCGGAAGAGTTCTACAATAACAAAAGATCGTATACTGTAAAAGTGGACATTTTCGCGGGTGGCAATGTTTGCGTTTGAACACCTGGGCCTAGTTGTTCAAAAGGTGATTAGCTTAATCAGTGATTAGCGCAAATTTTGATTTTTGTGTATCTTTAAAACACAACCATTGAATTAGTTGCAACTTTCCAGATATCAAATGTTTAGTTGAGCGAATTCACATGCAAAATTGTGAGATTTTACCTTGTATATTGACGGAATAATTAAAGGTTGACAAATGTCGTTAAACTGTGATTAAGCTAACCACCTTTTGAACAACTGGGCCCAGATCGCGATAGGAAAATGTTAGCGTTGGCGAAAGTTCTTAGGTGTATATACATGTATCCTGTTTAATATTATTATTTATTTATATTTTATGATATAATTATATAATATAACGATACATATTCGCTGAAAGATGTTTTTGCCCACATTTTCACACCGTTTCCATGTTTGCAGTATATTTGAAACGTTTGTTTTGAATAAAAGTGATACATTTTTTTTTGGTTGAGATTATGATCCGTTGTAACAAGTCGTGCTGTCGGTCGTTTGGTGTTTATTATCTATTTTTTGCGGTTTTGTTATTTTGTCTTTCCTGCTATTTTCATGACTCCTGCTAGGTTCGGATTGCTGTGTTTCCGCAGTGCTGGTTGCCGATTTTGCAGCTATTTTTATGGCTCACATGTTCTGATTTATTTCCTTTTCTGTACCGTATTTTGCTGTTATCAATATCATCAATGTAGGTAGTGGGTCTAAATATATAGGACCTTGATACCATTCATACTGACACTTTCATTACAGCTTTTGATAACATACTATGAATGATGTGCTTTTCTTTGAAAGACGACATAGTGATATCAGTTTCTTTAATCATGCTTGGCAACATAATTACTCACGGGAATAGCCGGTGTCACTTTCACGTATTACAAGTAAATACGAACATCTAACCCATAAACACATGTGTGTGTGTGCAATATTAACATTGGCAAATGCTGATTAAAAAGCGTGACATTTGACACGATTTAGGTGTAAACTAGTGGATTGAATTATTTTCTTACCATATATGACCCATGCCACTAGTTCCATATTCCTGTCAAGTTATACTATTTTACGGAATAACGAGATCAATACTTTTCCTAATGGACGGTGAAGTAAGCAATACTGATAGTGGCTTTTTACGTTGGTTAAGATGTTTGTGATATATTTCAAATGGTATTTTGAGGTTTGCATGCGTAAAACAACTTTTTTACCAAAATAAAGATTAATTATTGATTTGACAAAGCTATATTCGTTTACTTTTGCAACACTTAACTAAAGCAGTTTGATTTCGTTATGTCTTTTTATGCGTAGTAGAAACCTAGTTTGACCGGAACTTAAGATATACAGTACTGGTATTCTATAGGAGAGTGTGGTCCAACAAAAACTGGATTTTTCGAAGTTTACATCACTGTATCTGGTTACTAACGAACCAAACGCTTCAGCTCTCCGTGAAATTTTAATTCTGGTATCGCAGTTCCAAACTTTTAGCTTGATACCAGTAAATGAAGATTTTTTACAGAGCGAGTAAGACAACTTTAAAAATATTTCTTTAATCTGCTTTTGACAAATGAGTCTTTGTTACACAAAAATACAACGATGCATGTCAATGAGGGCTTCCGTGGGCGTACAACATGCCATTCTTCAACAGTCAATCGGATTTAGAGTTCATAGTTCACGTCCCGAACGGCTCCATGAATCTGTCAACAAAGCTGGCGAGGAGTAAGCATCTGTGGAAACAAACGTGTCCCATGCTTGTGGCTCTGAAATAGAGGAGAAACAAGACACATGTAGTAACAAGACACATGTAGTAACAAGACACATGTAACAAGACACATGTAGTAACAAGACACATGTAGCATAGACACATGTAGTAACAAGACACATGTAGTAACAAGACACATGTAATAACAAGACACATGTAGTAACAAGACACATATAGTAACAAGGAATAGAAACGTGTAAACATCAGTATTATTCACAAGGTTTTCTCTATTATGGTTTTAAGTCCTTCGATAAGCGAAGGTCCACTATGTTATGGTTACAAAGGACTACCTTAAAGGATGAAAGTAACACCCACACATGATTGGACCTGTAAGATTTGGTTATAGATACAGTAAGCCAAAAGTTATTCACACTGCATCATACAGCTGCTTCGTCCTTCTAGGTATCATCGTACAGCTGCTTCGTCCTTCTAGGACTCATCGGTGATGGTACGGGCCATCAAGGTGGAAATACAACTCGGTCTAAACTACTTTTCAAACAGAAAGGGAGGTGCATAACACCCAATAATTATATGACTTATGACCGGTCAATTTCAAATTAGTAATGATTAAATGGTGTATTTGAGTGTATTATGAACTCTGGCACTACTCAAATGATATTGATGTGGCTATCACGGCAACGACAAACGTCTGGGACTATGGAATCCATCAGCACAGTCTACCACCGTATATCTTTAATTTTCTTTTAATTTACCCATCCTTACCCACGTATGAGCATCTCCCAGCACCAGTTCATATTTAACGCAACTGCTAATGCTTGTATATGAGTTTTACTACACACGTAGATTTGGTTTTGTTTGCTTGCGTTTACGTTCTATTAACAGCTATGCTCATTTAAGGACGTGCCAGGTTTTGGTGATTGAAGAAAACCGTAGTACCCGGAGGAAATCCACAGAGCTGCGGCCTGTACCAGGCAACTGCAACGTGTAGGCCTCTAACACGTGACCAAGTAATGGAGGGCTAGTGAGCATAGACAATCAGATGCCTTAACCAACTAGCCATCGCGGGCCAAACACATGGGGAAAAAATTGATTCGATATAGCAACTGCTTTAAGACGGTGCATTGATATAATATTTATCACGTATTAATAGGTTTCACTTTGCTCTGGCTCTGTAATCTCAAGGATATATCTATACATTTATTGGTGTATTGTTGATAATGTCTGATGTTTGTGACGCTTTGGTTCAAGGCGTGGTCATATTGCGTGCTAACGTGGCCTTTATTCCACGTGACAGTTTGGTGTAGTTATCAAGGCAATTTATCCAATGTCTAGTTCATTGATATCATTTGTAATATACCGTGTGCATTGTACCGAATTATACATATGTATATTTGTTTGCGTGTTGCAGGCATGTTGTGTCAACGAAATGTTGGCGTTATCTAGGATAGCACAACAGATCAAAGAATATTTCATGTTTCATGACATATTGTCAAGCATGCAATGTCTTGTAGACCGATTAACGACCCCAGTTTCAATAAACAAGAAGTATTAAGTTCTTTGTTCTTCATACACGTATACCATCTGCGTACTGGTCTTATACACGCTTGACAATGTGTTTGTCTTTGTTCTATTGTATAACTGTCTGCAATGCCGTGGTAAACGGTGATTAGTATTGTTTGGCCCGACGGATAATGACCAGATAATTTCTACATCCGTTTTATAAACACCCCGATCATTGCCCCCGTCATGCTATCTTCCCCTTAGACATGCTAGACCATATAAACACAGATTAAATCCAGCCTCTGTACAATGTTTGATAAAGGATCATGTCTGAATCTTTTACTATTGAACCTATTTCAGTTAAAATATCTGTGCCAATACACCCGGTCGAATCCAAACTCATATTGATACAAAAAAAGATAACAAAGTAAACAACAAATCAAGAGATAAAAGTATAAACCCCCATAAACTCCCTGAAGGTTAATAAGCGTAAAAGTACCCCGCGCATCTAGTTACACGCATCATAACATCTACCATCAATGATCTTGTGTTCGACTTAAAAATGATGAAAAAAGTTTGGAATCAGTTTTGGAATAATGTTTTTGTGTTCTATGTTCATATTTTATATTTATACATTTTATTTGAATTAAGGTTACTATCACACTACATGATGAATAATAGCAACAATATGATAAAAAAGGAGAAAACGATAAATGTCATTAAAAAACCTGAATAACAATAATTCTTTTTTCCAATCGAAAATAGGATTGGAAAATATTGAGGCTTCCCATCTACATGACTTCGAAGATATGCATGTGAAATAACTAAAATGAAAATAAGTCGCTTATTATCTAGATTTTTTGGTTAATCATCATGGATCGATTTTTTTCAATTGCAATTTAGAAAGTCTGTTGAAAACGTGATTTTTTGTGGCTTACTGTGCTTGTCATTGTTTGATTAACCCCAAAGACATCGGGAGAAAGCAAGAATAAATATGTAGTACAATAACTTGCAAAATGTCACGATTTCATACAATGATATCATTTAGGTGGCACATGCGTTTCCAAATTAACTTAACAACTTAATCAAAATATTCATAACTGATAATTTGTTCATCGCAAATAGAAGATAGAGAAGTTAGCATTGACTGAGGGGTTCTCATATGAAACTCATCCCCTACAGCTACGGCAAATTAAGAGACATATTATATACAACTGCAAGATAATTGTCCAGCGGGAAATGCCACCTGCAGAGTGTTGGTTTATCAGCAGCAGCAGACACTGGAGAACTCGGATTTAACCTGCTGTCCCCATTGAAACATTCCTGACCTCGGTGTATTCTTTTTTCTCCTACATAGATTTTCTTTCAGGCGACGTTCCCGCCGAAACAGGTGTCATATAGATATAAATCAAAACATGGTATTGATGATAGAGTACGTGTCTGTAAATCCAGCGATATCGACAGAATGGATTTTTTAATGGTTTAACAATGCAGGTCTCTTACATATCGGCGAATTAGAAAAGAGAAAAACAATTTACTATAAAAAGTCACAATTAAAGCGTAAGCCGAGGAGATAACAAAACAAAAACAAATTATTGTAAAATCCGATCAAACTAAATGACATAGAAGGGTGAGCTATTCATGATCTACGTGTGTTAGATTAAGTGGGCGTTCCATGGCCTTCATGTATAAACATGTAAAATGCATCAATTCTGTTGTGTGGAAATAGAATATTTAACAAAAACAAAGTAATTTATCGATGAATATGGGATCAGTACGCGTTACAAAGGCGATTCTCCAAGGGTAACGTTCTCTGCAACCCTGTAATGAATAATGACGAAATCAAAGGCTCTCAACGCACCACCTTTGGGATGAACACATAGATTTGTTTGATAATTTGATGTACATCAATATAATCGCGCGGCACCGTAACGGTAAACTTAGTTGGCTTTAAAGTCGGTTTTCTGCAAGGCCTATGTATAACCAAGTGCCCTCGATTTCGCCATGGGAGAAGGGAAAGTTAATGAGCGTAACCCCTGGAATTTCGAGGATGTGCTTATTTGAACCCAGTACGTTTGAGAGAGGCATCCATGTTTCTTGAGAAATTTTGCACTTTATCAACAAATAACAAAAGAAAAAGTTTCAAAAACAAGTATGGATCCATTTATATTTTTCTCTGTTAAAGGGGGAGATGGATGTACATAAAAACGTAAAGCGAAGACTAAACTAGCATTATCTAAAATAACTAATTAACTCATTGAAAAATGACGACTTTCACATGAAATCAGCTTGTTTGTCGTTGTGTTAATTTCTCTGTTCACGATGCCTCTTTTCAAATTTAATAAAACCGTTTGACCTATTTACCTTTCCTCAACACGTGCCGTTATCCCGCATGAGGTCTTCCTCTGTGGGCTGGGTGTACACAAACGTGACAGTGTTGAAGTATTCCCCACTGGACACCATTCGTATCACAGTATTGGTACAGGCGACGGGGGTTCCACGTCTCTCTGACAACGAAGAACATTAAGTACGTGTGATATATAATACCAACAGTAAGGCTTTATGGTAAACATATTCTTGTTGCATTAGAAATTATTTGTTTTCTCTTGAATGATTATATATATTCAGTTCATCACTTAACTCAAAAGAGTACATAGACTTCTCGTTATAAAAGGATTGAACAGTATGTGTAATAATTTCACGATGTTATGAATGCAAATCGGTTACATAAATACATGTACGTAAGCCGCTAGGGATTCATGGTAAATGTATATGTGACCGAGTTGCGTTCACGTCAACATGAATATTGAAAAATGCCGCTCAATCCTTATCTTTACAATGTCAATACTTAGTAGTTATTAAAAAAGGTGCTTAACCCCTTAAGTTCATGAATTTAAAGTTAAACAATGCAACTGGTTAGTTTCGAATTACATATTCATGATGTACACTTGACCTAATGACCTATTATATTATGTACATATCACCTTTAACTAATGAGTACCTTCAGTAAGTGCACACAGAATATTATATCTGGTGAGTATATATACAGTAAACCAGTTATGTCTAGAGAGAGCAAGTTCTTTAGCTTACTATATATCTAGTTAGAAGACATACTGTGTTTAACTTCTATCTAAATATAAAAATACTGTATGATATATCAGTTATATAATGGGTGATCAATATAAATGCGTTAATTTACGAAGACACTTTCTTCTGGATTAGTCATATGTGTTTATAAAGTGTAAGCCTACCAGCGCCAGTGGTGAGTCCGCAGGCCAGTTCCCTTCTGTTGCTAGAGTCAGTTTCGAACCCATTTCCACCGATCACCTCCACGTAGTCAGTATTCCCTCTACTGTCCCGACACTGGGAATGATAGAACGCCAGAGCTATAGCTAATAGAGGCAGCATACGCAGTAATACTTCCTATTCAGTAAATATATATTTTTGTTTAATTTCGACTCATGGTTAAATTGACTAGTTTAGTTTAATATGTACGGAAGAAAGGTTTATTTGATGTGATATTGAATATATATGTGTGTACAATGGTGATATGGTAGATAGCCCTGGAGGATAATCTGATTTGAAGAAGATACTAACTGTTATACGAAACATGTCATCCTGTCGGATCAACAATGATCGTCACTTAACACGTTCTTTTAAGTGTTAAAAAAAATCACTTGTGAAAATCTATTACCAATTAGCAATATTTAAAACGCAACCATACCATAAATAGTAAAGGTAACATTAAATAGAAACAGCTTTGAAATTATTGAGGATGTTGGCTTAAATTTGACAAATTGAAAGTAAAGTGTCTTGCGAATATTGAGAATGATGGCTTTAATTTGACAAATTGAAAGCAAAGTGTCTTGCAAATATTGAGTATGGTGGCTTGAATTTAACAAATTGAAAGCAAAGTGTCTTTGGAATATTGAGGATGGTGGCTTGAATTTGACAAATTGAAAGCAAAGTGTCTTTGGAATATTGAGGATGGTGGCTTGAATTTGACAAATTGAAAGCAAAGTGTCTTTGGAATATTGAGGATGGTGGCTTGAATTCAACAAATAGATAGCAGAATGTCTCACGATCAGCAAAGAACTACGGACAGTTATTTGATGGTAAATGAGGTTGACAAAATGTATTCGTTCACCATAATGTCCCCTGGGGGACATCCTCGTTTTGGTAAAGAGCTGCAGGAGGGAAACCAACACAATTGTCGTTATGTAGACAGATATTTTGGAATGACACAGTAACAGCGAAAAGGTTGTCTAACGGTTGAAATCTAGGCGATGGTGAAGATCACTAGCGATAAAAGAATCATTACTGTATCATCTGTACACCAAAGTCACTGTAACGGTCAGTAGCTCTCATGTTGATCGTCTGAGTGTTTATTGCAATACACAATACATCTCCAGCGCACACACAGGCATGCACACATAGGGAGATATTAGCCAGGTGGCATAGGACTAGTAGTTAGCGCCTAATAAGGCAGCTCCTGCAAATTCCTCAAAATTGTATTGATTAATGTATATGCTAAATGTATTGATTGTATAAATTGTATATCTATGTACAGTAAAGCGCTTTAGAGTGGCTAAGGTTAGCTAGATAGGGCGCTATATCAAATATTGTATATTATTATTATATTATTGCAAACTACAGAGTGCATCAACGGACAACAATCAATCGGATTTCAGAAGAAAACCTTTGATGTGCTTCCATGGAATGATATCTATTTTGCATGGTGAAGGATTTCTAAGGTTATACTGACAAATACAAAATCATTCTTTGTATAAGAAATTGAAACCAAACAAGGTTCAACGTTTCCTTTAGATGAGAATAAATTGATCGCATTGTTTGACGAACTCAAACCGGTAAACAATAAATGGTATTAAATACTGGTTAGGCATGCAATGGCTACATTGTTCACACAATTTCAAATTCATCATCGGACATGATGGCTTCTGGATTAATCCTGATCACTACGGTTTCTAATACAGCGTTTTCAATAACATGCTTTATTGGTATTATCACGGCATCTGAACACAACGTAGCTGTGCTACATTTATGCAGATTTTAGCAAACGAGATATCACAACGAATACAGAGCACATTGCAATCCTTGCCAGCCCGAGGAACAACTAATCCTAAACATAGAAATATTCGAGGAGTGGTATTTTTTTCAAGCTTTTTTTCTGAATTTCATTTTCAAATTTTATAAAAGTACAAATTTGGCTTGATATTTTTTTACATTCTTAATTTCTCTTAAAGAGATTAGATAAACATGACCACCCACCATCACGTGTGAAGAATCTCTTTCATCGATAATGGTTATTATATCTGAAAGCAACGTTTTACGCATGCTTCCACTTTCCGATCGGGAAGAAATCGCCACGATCTGTACGGTCCTTTAAAATGCTTCAGACTTTTTCGCCATTTGTAGAGTAAACATATCACGTTCATCAGTCCTAATGCTGTTTATTTCACGGGATAAGATATATATGGCGGTTGGAAAGGATTGTAAAACAAACGAAAAAAATGAAATATGCTTGTGACTGACTGCCATTACATTTAACGTAAGTGTATTGTAGACTAGTTTGGATGTTTCAGTAGTGAACAGTACATGCAAGGACAGATTGATAACGGCTTCAAGGGCATACAATTTGCAATACGATAACATACTGCACTTAACGCGAATAACACTTCACATACGAGACACGGTATACACCATGGCATTGAATTTACTTATGAATAAAAAAGCGTTTCGATTTTGAAATAGTATTATTGCCTACGCAATTGTCACATATTCACTGAGAGCGTTAAACAATCTTGATTGACTGTCCTATGCTCTTTCTCTAGTGTGTTTCTAACAGATGCCTCTAATTTCATTATGAAAAGATTCATGTAACACAACCAGTAAGTGTTTATATGTGACGTTTCAATGACTAGCTCGGTTGTCATTTGTCTGCTGAAGGTGACAGAGTACATACCATACTAGTCATCGAAACGTCACATAGAAACACTTATTTTTGTGTTACATGAATATTTTACCAATCCATTCCTACCAACATACAGAAAATGTTTAGAAAAAACCTCTTACTTCATATTTCTAGTGAATATTTAACGTCACACTATGCAGACTATAAGTCCCGGTAGAGTGCACATGAAAAAGGGTTTTTTCTGACCATTTCCACTCTCTTTGTTTGAATTGCTGTGCCGTCTTACACATCGTACTGATAGTGAGTATAATCAAGCAAGTTCTTTTTCTCTCAAAGTATATCATTAGTAGCGGCAGTGGTGACATAACGAGATTGTTCTGCAATCAATCAACAACGATACGAAACATGGGAATACGTATTAAACTTCCGGTTTGTGGGTGACGTATACGGTAAAGCAAAGAAAGTATTCAATGCTAAAAATTTCGATTTAGTTAATTTCAAACTTGTTTTCCTTTATTCGTTGTAATTGCTTTCTTCTAATCAGTCTTTTATACATCCAGAAAAAAGTAACTACATGCTTTTTTCTTAAAATTGATATCAATAATTTGATATAACCTTTATAAAGCTATATACTTCTCATAAAAATGGGTTTGTACAAAACCCAATTCAATCCCTCATAAGTTACCCTCGGTAATTAAATTGTACGTGTAAACGCCAATATAACGGATATTTCAGTTAATGCTATACACAGTTCACTATCGACCAGTTAGTTAGTAGCTACAGTCATAACGCGCCATCAACACAGAGAAGGGCATTAGGGCCAATAAAAGGTAGATAAAACACGTTAAAGGAAATTACATCAATCAAACGAAAGGGTTAATAGAACAACCTGAAAAGTAAAAATTGTTATGCTTAGTTATATCATTTTAAAAAGAATTTTCAAGTTTTTAGAATTGTAAAATATAAGATTTGTTATATTATTTTAAAATAAAAAAAAATCGTGTTGGCTGATTGTCAATTCAATCTATAACAATTGTTTTACTGTAAGTAGTTAGTGACATGCTATGCATTAAGTCTTTCAATGAATAGGAATGGGTAATGTATGACTGACCGATTGGGAGACAGGCAAAGACGACCTCGACACTATACGAACGCATCAAAGTCGGTCTCAAATCATCTCTTTTATACCCAAGCCACTTCACGATATCTTACTCCATCGCGCTATTAACTTGGGACAAAATTAAATCGATATCGGGGTAACAAACCAGCAAGCAACCTCCTGGAATGACAGTAGAGGACTTTTTATATCTTGATTGAATTTGTCTAAGCTTAGTCGACATTTCAAATATGACTTAGCTTCTCGATTGCGCTTTTACAATATATACCTGTTAATTTTGGTATATTCCAATGGTTTTACTTACACCTTGCGTTCAGACGTTTGAATTTCATGTTTCACACGACAGTCGCCAAAAGGTCTGCCTCTAGTGTTATCGTACCTGATCTGAAAGTCCGAGGTCACTATCAACTTCGTTCATCTTAGCGGTCACGCCCACATCGACAGACACCAGGTGTACCATTTCAGGGTAGATAATCGAGACGGAACAGTTCCGACGTTGTCCGTAGTTCTTGATTGTATGCACGCCTTGGGTGAACATTGATACCGCATTGCATGCTGGGGAAAATAAACAAATTCTTGTTTTATCTTCAATGACACTGTTATATAAGAATGTGTCCAATTTTTCTTAAAGCAGTCATTGTTGTCGTTGTAGTTCCAATTGATTTTGAACCGACGATATTAATTTAATTCAAAAGCTTCATCACAAAACCAATGAGTACGTTCTTTTGTCATAAGCTCTGCGGAGGTATTTAGTAAGCATTACAATTTTCCGCTGTCATTTTTGCTGTGGAGTTTGAAAGTATTTTATTGTGTAGTTATACGTCTAATGTGCAACCCTTTAGTATTTCACCCAACGACCAGGACCTAGCTCCGCTTTATGATCTATATCGTTAGTTATGTATGAAAAGCCGAAAGAAAAAGCCAAAAGAAATCGTTTGTTTATATCTTGTGAATGGTTTTCACGTCATGAAGAAGTGCTAAGGGGGATAAATATCTCACTTACGGAGTGCTTGAAATATGATTTCCCGTAAATATCATAACCTGGGACAGTACAAATATGTATAATCATGTTTATTAGTCATGCTGCTTATGGAGCTGTTGACTGAGTATAAATTGCAACGTATGTTTTATAAAAATGTCAAATTATGTCATTTCCGATTAAACATCCCATGGGGAAGTTTGGCAGGTATGACGGCGGTTTTACTCGCCCAGCAATGGAATGACGGGAAATTCGAGAGCGATCAACATTGCAGGTTAGGGGGGAAGAACGTGTCTCTTTATACTATTATTATTAGCATGGGAGGCGACTAATGTGACCTCCCCTGCTTAATTGGAATATATGAAAGTAATATATTTTATTTTCGTTCTTCTCTGCTCTCTCTTTTCGATGGTGTTATCCTCATGTATCGTCCTTATATAACCTTGGCTGTTGCTTTAGTTAACAGCAAACAAGTAAATCGAGACCGTCCACTATATTACTACTGACAAAAAACGTACAAACGACGTAATGCACTTTCCTATAGGAACGATACACTAAAAAAGAAACATCGATGTCCTGCAAAATGCTGACTTGTACACGTCACGTGTCTATCACAATGCTGACTTGTACACGTCACGTGTCTATAACAATGCTGACTTGTACACGTCACGTGTCTATCAGTGCTGAAATAACAAGATAATATTAAATATAACAACACTTATAGCCACTTACGTTGTGGATTGTCGATGAACTTGACCTTGACGGTGAAACCTTGACCTTGGACTGGTATTCTGTTCTGTATGAGAAGGACGTTCTGTGACGATACCAAAACTCTCCGGGGTTTTGATTGGCCACAAAATGTCATGTACCTTTGGTTAAGGGTGAGGTGATGGTCAGCAGGAGGTGGAAAAAACTGGCCATTCATCTCCCATCCATCTACTAGCTACAATTGGAAAAATGTATGCGCTTAAAACTAATTCCGCCAAAGGCTAGGAGCGAAGGAAAATAAAATATTCATAATAAAAAAATACACACCACAGCCATTTCTAGATATAAAATAAAGATTAAAAAAGCGTGTATGCAATTATGTGAAATAAACAATCACTTTCAGGAAATGCTAGTTTTCTTCCATACATCCGTTTCAGTAGAGGACAATCGTCTCAGGCGTTGTCGTGCCTCTTTCTATTTTGATAAATCACAGCGTCAAAACAATAAGATATATTCAGATCTCAAAACGAGTCACAAATTAAAATTAAAATCGAACTAGCATACAGTTTCATCCTATATTATAATTACCGTTGATCTTTTCTTAAACTTATATATTGGAACTCAAGAACGGGATTACTCACTTTTCAAGTATATTCGAAGCAGCCATATTTGAACAATGACATCTCGATGAAATTTGGCAATATATATGTTTATGTTTTTAACAATTTACAACAAATAACGCAGTCTTCAGCCCTTTCACAGAATGCCATAGCATATTGTTTATTCATATTGTTTTCCCCCTTCAAGTATGCAACGCGTCATTGAAACATCATGTCCATTATAAAACACTGTTTACACGTTTTACGGATGTCGTAAAATGGACAGAGAGTGTTTCCGGTACAATCTGAATTGGGCTAATGCCGGATTTAATCGAAACTTCGTGGTACTTTACCAGTCACGTTTGGAAACCTTTTGCAAGATGTATGAGATTCAATATTATATAGAAAATATGTTTAATACCCTCAATGTGGGTTTGCACATTACGAATAAGGACACTTCGTTGAATATCGCCTTCCAGATACATGTTTTAGCTTCAATTTCTTTATAAACTCTTAGGAAACAATTGGCAGTCGTTAAATCTGACGAGAGTCTTTTATTCGCCTACGAGGACGCATCCCGCCTCATAAAATGTCCAACATACTTGACCGTGTTACCGGCCGCAAACCTTTCAATTATAAACAGCGGCAATTCCTTAATGGGAAAAGCTACCGGAAGTAAAAATATGAAAAAAGCGTCTTCGTAAAAGGTTACATTTCTATAGTGAGAGTCTTCATCAGACACACAAAGGGCCGGGTTTTACCAGTTGATACATACCGCAGCAAGACCGCCCGCCTCACAATCCACGTTAAAGTCCAGGAACTCAAGCTCTATTAACTTCTCCGGAAGTGAAATTAAATAAAGTCCACATACACTTCCGCTTCCATCTGCCACAAATTTGTATTCGCCAGCGAAACTTTGCATGTCCATACATTCTGTAATAAAGGCCAAGTTAAGCATAGGTCATAGTATTTCTCTTAATATGTTGTAGAGGAAATGATATTTGATCAAGGTTAATGTATCCGAAAGTGTCCCTGTTTATTGGCAAGGTTTATGGCTTTTATATAGTAATAGAAAAATGTACTTTTCAATACAAGTTAATGTAAGTTTAATAACTAAGTATAGAATACATTCTTTGTCATGAAGAGGCCTATCATAATATGGTTTGAATAAAAAAAAATGAGGGGGGGGGGGGGGGGGGCATTTACGCTTCAGAAACAGTTTTTCATGCATCCTTCTTATCTTCTTATTCATATTTTAACTGACTAAAAACGTAGTTAAACTGTGACTTACGAACAAGTGTGGGGGTATTCCGTAAATTGCGCTTTAAAGAAGAACGTTTCTGCAAAGAAAAGGAAAAAAACCACATCAGATAATATGAGAATATCAAATACAGGTAGGTCATTTAGATGTTGATCTGCAAGCTATTTTCTCTCTACCGCTCTTCCCCCCCCCCCCCCCCCCCCCCCCCCCCTGAAGTGTGTTACGAACCAAAAATGACTGGCCTTAATATTTACTATAACTTGACCATGGCCAGTATCCATGAAACCGTTCGCATGCTCAACAATGGATTTTGAGCTTATAACAGCTTTCCTCTGACTCGCTCAATCAAAACTTCAATTGTAAACAGTGTAAGCATTTGGCTTGAAGTCTGAAATCCCTTCAAGTCATTGACAAATTTTAATATTTCTATTCATATTACCGGAACAAGAAACAGGGCTTGAGAACAAACAGAGTCTGAGTTTAAGGATACGAATGAATAGGGTTCAGATGTCATAGGTAATCAAAAACAAGTTTCAATAGTTTTCATAACATTTCCATAATGTATAATCGTGATGGATGTTTGTCAATTTCATTTAACATTTAACAATGACTGGAGGCTGATAAAGCATCGTTCTGGATGAGAAAAAAAGGTGTTGTAGCTTAATTGAGAAGCAACTAATGCAGCATCAGTATGGCATTCAATGGTCGTGAGTGGCAACTGCTATTTCTCAATAATCTTTAATGTCGGACTTAAGTTTTCTCAGAGAGTTACCAAGCGCATATTTCAGCATACATTATTTACAGTGCCGTTTTGCTAATTGTTGTGTGTTTTACGATGTTGAATGGTTCAGTGACATACAATTTGCCCTGCCTCAAAATACATTTCAGGCGGCCATTTTGTTTGTTTACATATTCCTACACCTGAAACAGGCTGTTGTAATTATAGTCGAGCAGTTGTGATTATAGCCTATATAATTACACTTGCCCTCTAAGACTGTTGTAATGGGACGGCGCGGGGGCAAATGTAAATATATGGAAGTTCTTTGGTCACCATCATAAACTATTTGGAAAATAATATATATATTCCCATGTGCGTTTTTCTTTTATTACGTTCATTAGTATGCTTGTGCTTTTCGCTGTCACCACACCGGCTGACATTTGATGTGACTCGGATTTAAAATTAATGCATAAACAGCGTGACATGAAAAGACGCTTATCCTTCCCGAGCACATGGGTACATTCTCCTAATTTTATCATTCGTGTTAGTCCTTCCTTTAATCACATTTTGTCAAATATTTATTGATTTTGAGTTTTAATTCCGTTTCTTTAAACTATATTGTACACTTTAGATATTAGAGTGTTATAAGGATAAAAAACGTATTTAAAATATGTATTTGGATTTTATCATTTGAAGATCGAAAACATGAAAACCTTGATGACGTCAAATCGGTAATATAAATATAATTATATTCACACGTAATATGAATGTAGTAACGTGACAGGGATTGATTTTGTGGTAATCACCTGTATGACATTTATCGTCAGAAACAAAGTTCACCTACTTCTAGGTTTCTGTGTCAAGGCACCTGGCATTATAAGAAACCTTCTCCGGAAAGCTCGAAGTGAACGATACAGAAATAGTTTAATGATTATCATTATCCGAAAGAATGTCTTGTTAAATTGAGATACTAACTCTAAACCAGACGTCTTTTTTGCGTCATAAATGAATGTGTGAATACACAATGAGTAATAAGCTAATTAGAGGTGTCGTTACACCTAAACACCCGCGGTTCCTTCCGCTTCTGACATCCGCGTCCGTTAATTACATGTACCGGGTCGTAAATTAGATTTATATAATCATTTCCGTATTTATGTATTCATTAATAACCACATCTCTGACGTTAATTGTGTAACTTAATGTCGGATTGTCATATGAAAATCCGGAAAAATTTGAATTTAATGTTTAACTGATGTACCAAGTAGCTTCTGTAGCTCTTATTTGTGATTATTACGGAGCAGTATAACAAAGCCCTAGACTAATTGCTCCGAGCCAGACGTAAAGAACCTGTCAAGGCCGAGTGTCACAGACAATGACCATAAAAATGGCCAGTACAACAGGACGGTCCAAGCGGTTACACAGATGTTGTCATCCTGAAATAAGCTATTTTAGGTTAAATGTTTGGCGATATTTGTGTTGCATTATTGTTTTTACATTAGTATTTACGTTTTGTTTGTCGCAGTATCATGCTACGTATTTTGTTCACCATTTTAATATCAATAATTGTTTAACATTACGTAGTTGTGACGTTAACAATGCTTACACTATTGGGTCCGGGGGGACGGTAGACGGATCTGCCGTATGAAGGTCGATGATGATTGGTCTGCAAACGTGAGTTGGATGGCATTAAAAAACCCAGCAATTTTCTATGGTATTCTTCCTCACTTTTTTTGAATAGTTACGTTATATAATGTATACCGGGGAATTTTCGCCCTGTCAAATGTTTGAACTTCGACAGTTAATTCCGTGTTCGCCCAATGTTAAATCCGCCATTCACATTTAATTACTATGTATATGATGTTGTTAACAAACGTTTGCTGTATTTATGAATTCGCCCCCATTACTGAGGGCGAAAACGCGTATGTTAATCTGCAGCAAAATTCCCCGGTATAATAATAATAATTCGAGGTTCTTATATACCACTTTATCACAACCTAGTTCGTAGTTCGTCTCAAAGCGTTTCACAAGTTATTATCCGTGGTTATAGAGCCTTTGCAACCAGCCACTATCTTTCTCAACTCCCTGGGGAGCAAACAGCCGGAGCTGCCATTTCTGTACTCACAGCTAGCATTCTACAATTCTAGCGCTGCCCAACCACGTACTCATTTACAGCTTAGTAGACTGGAACAAGTAAAGTATAATACTCAAAGATACAACACAGTGCCGTGCTGTGACTCGAACACGCAACCCTTCGGTCACGAGCCCGGCGTCCTACCACTACACTACTGTGCCTTCTGGTATACAGTATTTGCCTGTCAGAGACGTTAAATAAAATATAAATAAACCAAAGTATGATAGTGAGTATTTACCGAGTTATAAATAAAATACACGGAAAAATAATTACTAGAAATATGTTGACAATGCAGAAACAAACTTAGCAAAGATAAGCAACATATGCAAAGCTTAGGTCAGGAAAAAAGTAGAAGAGCTCATTTAAATGTTTTTATTTTTCAGTCATTACCCAGAAAAGCGCAAATGTGGTGTTTGTGCACATATTTTATACATATGATACTAATCTAAACCTATTATATAATGAATAATATAGAGTGTTTACAGTCACCATGGGTTTATGGCATATGTTCAGTTTTTTTTTATATGTCCCAAATTTCTACAAATCAAAATTGTCGTTCTGCAAATCCTATTTACCCATCAATGTATCAGTTTAAAATCGGTTATTTGACAGGCTATCCTTCAAGTGTCATGATTTTTTGTTTCTAGACGTTAGTGGCGGAGGTTTGTTACAATTGTTTTTGTGTTTTTTTTTGCAATATGTTACATGTACAATCATTTAAATCACGAGGTGCGATAATTACCTTTACGAATACATTTACCTGTGAGTTTGCACCATAAAAAACATTGAAATGCTTTAACAAGTTTCGAGGATATCGTGAAATGTATAACGAAGTAAATCTTACACAAATGATTGACGATACATATGTTATACTGGCCAGTTTGTATATCTATTATATGATATTAGATATGTCTATACCTACCATCAATATATAGTCAGCAAGCGTATATAACGACCGCTTGTCTATAACAACCACCTGTCTATAACTATCACCTGTCTATAACAACCACATGCCTGTAACAACTATCTGTATATAATTTCTAACTGTCCATATATCTCACATAGTTTTTAGCTACCTTCTTACTTTAACAGATTTCCTTTTTCACATAAATATTGTAACTTCATGGAGAAATACCTATTCACCTGCTCTGTAATGTATCGCATAGAAACCAATGCTTTGGTTTGCTTGTGTTTAACGTCCTATTAACGGCTATGGTTATTTAAGGACGTGCCAGGTTTTTGGAGGACAGCCGGAGTTCCCGGTGAAAAAACTCTGACCTTCAGAAGTGACCTGGCGACTGCCCCACGTAGGTCTCGAACCTGAGATCCAGTGGTGGAGGGATAATGGTCGCCGAATGGCAGACGCCTTAACCACTTGACCACCGCGGCCCTAAACCAATGCAATAGTCAACACGCAGATACTTGATGCAAGGGATTCCCGAAGTAAGCAACGTACATATACAATTACACGTATTGAAATAACTGGTTAAAAAGCCTAACATAAATCGCCCCTAACGTAAAGGGTCGAGCCCACCCCTACAGCACAGAGGAATTAAAACACTATCAAACGGTCTCAAAGCTGACCGCGACTGGTCAGATATTTTGTCCTGGTGTCTACAAGTAGTACGATAAAGTGGTTTATTATCTTCCCGTCTTCTACAATTGATTTTTTGATGTATCTATTTATAGTAAAGCTGAAGGAGTTCAAAATTACAACCTTTAGAAGGGGACAGTGCCTTTCGTTCATAAATGTCTTCGTGAGTAAACAATAATAACGATTTTACATTGGTTCCTAATTCGAAATATCGTGTTTCCAATCAGGGCGCCATTACAGCATATTACTAAGATCCCTGCGGTAATTAAGATCATTTGTGCCAATCAATTTCCACCATTTGCCCAGACTGGTAGTAAAATTGGCCACTCATCCTTGACACAGCGTAATCCTGGACACAGCACTCTGACAAATACGCGACTTCTATCTGCTGTGATATCGGGGACGACTACTATCTTGGGGGACTGTCATCTGGGCTAACTGCTATATGGGGTGACNGGGGGGGTTGCTACTATATGGGATGACTTCTATCTGAGCTAACTGCCAGCTATCTGGGCTAACTGCTTTCTGGGGCGACTGGTATGTTATCTGGGATTACTGTTATCTGATGCGATTGCTATATGGGGTGATTACTATATGGGGTGACCGCTATCTGGGGTGACTACTATCTGGGATGAC